TGACAGACAAAATGGCCGCCGTTCGTTCTCAAATAGCGTAAAAATATGGTATATCAAGGTTGTGGACCCTATATAGAGGTCACAATTTTTATCCAATTTTGTTGAAACTTGAAATGTAAGTTTATAACCCAAAGATCTCGGTTCCTTTTGATATTCGCGCATATCGAACCGTAACTTCCTGAATTATGGCCCCTGACTGTACAAAAAGTTGCTTTCTTTTTAGCTTGTTCTCTATCCATCTCTCGAAAATGTGGGCGTATCCTGCCTGGCAGCAGCTGGTTATTCATTGCACCGGTTATCTCATGTCTCTTGCTGTTATCTATTGTCTTCTGTACATATATATATAAACCTAATTATCCTCCTTTTCACTAATCACATTGTAAATTATTGCACCTCGTATACATAACATGTTATTGTCTGCGATATCACCTCGGTGGAAGCGGACGTAAAATACAACTAACTAACAACAACAATAACATTCGGACAGATGTAAATCTAGCCACAAAGATGTCCTTCCAAGATTATTATAGAGCCCAACAAGACTACAGCTACAGAGGAGAACTGAATCCTGCCTACCAACCCCCTTTTCAGAACGAATATTATCAAGGCCGTTCCGATAACACAAGAAGTTTCAACTGGAATGACAATCCCGTTTACCAGGGTAGAAACGGACAGTATATGTCACCTGCACATTAATATAATCATAAAATTAGTGAAAACAGATTTGTGTTGATCTTTTTTTTAACCATTAGTTGTGATTCCAAATTTAATCCATACAGTTATCAAAGTGCAGCACGTCCCAAAACATGTGCCAATCCACATGTAAAGAGAATAAATATAAATTGTAAATTAAATAACACTACACATTGCGCCATATTCTGCAAACTACGGCGGTAATCGAAATCGCCGACAAATACTCGTATTGTTGACTGCCATCCATTATTGTTTAAAAACATTTACCGATTCGAGAATATTAGTAAATAATTAATTAATGATTTATTCAGAATGTAGCGACGATACTCACCAGAAATTTATATAGTTAACGATTTCACGCTCTACTGGCGTTGAGTCCAGTTACTGACGCACATCAAAGATAACTGCCGGTTTCACTCTGATAGTTCGGCTTAACTCACATTTGTTTAATTACTCAAGTTATTTTTAGATACCGACACAATTAAGGAATACTAACCAATTTACTTAAATACTCACCTTATGATTATTACTGACCATTTATAGGAATTGTAACCAGTTTGGTTCTTAGTACTGTTGGCTATTCATCATAGATCATAACACTTGATTCAGTTAGTTGTAGAACTTTATGTAGATACAGTAATAACAATTATAACAGACATTACACAGAACTAAATTATAACTATATAGAATTATGCACAACTAAGAGGTATAATTTCAAGAGTTGGCCTAAGTTAAATGTAGCCTGTTACCTGTGTCTCCTACCTAACTTGATTCCTTCATGGGGCCATCTCCATATTTATATCTATGAAGATGTAGCCCCTAGAAGTAGATACCTATATTACAATTAACATAAACACAACAATTTAGACACAGATTAAAATATTAAAAGAATACAAAGAAGATTATAGACATAGAAGATAGGCTTATAATATTAATTATATACATGTATTAAAATATTACCAGTAGGACACATTATTCCATTCAGTCTCATTCTTATTAGAATACATACTCGTTAAGAGGACTATGCTCTAAGATGTCATATCAATGTTAAGGTAACCCATAATTAACTAAACCATAGAGAGGGAATTGTAGGGTCTTGACAGACCGTGGTGACATGGCTCCCCCCGAAAAAGATGGCGTCCACGTCATCAATATTTGGGATATTGTCATAAATGTAAACATAGTGGTAAGGCCATACAGCCAACATAACATAAACTATATCAATATATATATATAAAAAAACTTATGCATGTTACAATGAGTCATAACAATATATTCGACTAAAATAAGGTAACAAAATAATTAATTAGACCCTTCAATATTTGTGTTGCCATTAATATGATTAAGGCAGTGCTGCCCACATCATGTGACGAATACGTATGCAATAGATAAGTCAAGGTCTTAATCTTGAAATACCCAATTGTATATGACTAAGGCCATATACTGCCAATTAAACATCATCACTCATAAGTTACAGGTAATATACATACAATAAAACATAGTATTACACTTAATTTAGTGTGGTAGCCAAATACTTAGTCAAACCAATCAAGATTTTAACTAAATCGTGTATAAAAGCCATACTGACAATGATACATACTTAGATGGAGAATTAATAAGACAATTTACTCAGAATAAGTCATTGTCACTTAGTAAAATAAAATTACTAACCAAAATAATGTAGTAAGTATAGGGTAAAAATGTGGTCAAATAAAAACATTCAATGATAATACAACCATGTCAGCCATGTTAAACGGGTTACTTCCAGAAATAAAGAAACATGTCCAATTATTCGGAAAACCAACAAATCTGAAAGAACTGGAAAAATCTTCGCTTTATATGGAATATGTGCTAAACAAAGACATAAATAAAGAGGAATCCTCTTCCAGAAAAAAATTAGATGATGTAACAAGAGCTTTAAATTCTCTTACCATCCAACTGGGTAACAATTCAAACAATGTGAAAGAATGGGACAATGAGAATTATAATTGCAATTACGATACAACTTGTGATAGTGCTAAATTATTCAGTTGTAAGGCTGAACTTTTTATGGATGGAAATTTTCAAGACCGCACAAATTCTCATCATTATGCAAGAAATGTAACCAGCTTGGTTCTTAGTACTGTTGGCTATTCATCATAGATCATAACACTTGATTCAGTTAGTTGTAGAACTTTATGTAGATACAGTAATAACAATTATAACAGACATTACACAGAACTAAATTATAACTATATAGAATTATGCACACATCATAGATCATAACACTTGATTCAGTTAGTTGTAGAACTTTATGTAGATACAGTAATAACAATTATAACAGACATTACACAGAACTAAATTATAACTATATAGAATTATGCACAACTAAGAGGTATAATTTCAAGAGTTGGCCTAAGTTAAATGTAGCCTGTTACCTGTGTCTCCTACCTAACTTGATTCCTTCATGGGGCCATCTCCATATTTATATCTATGAAGATGTAGTCCCTAGATACCTATATTACAATTAACATAAACACAACAATTTAGACACAGATTAAAATATTAAAAGAATACAAAGAAGATTATAGACATAGAAGATAGGCTTATAATATTAATTATATACATGTATTAAAATATTACCAGTAGGACACATTATTCCATTCAGTCTCATTCTTATTAGAATACATACTCGTTAAGAGGACTATGCTCTAAGATATCATATCAATGTTAAGGTAACCCATAATTAACTAAACCATAGAGAGGGAATTGTAGGGTCTTGACAGACCGTGGTGACAGAATACTGATGTACGGTACAAGTACTGACGGGTTTAAGCGACTACTGACAAACATGTATATTTCTTACAAATTTCCATGAATAGTAAACACAATGAACCTTTTCTACTTCATATATAGATATTCTAACACATAGGCCAGTTAGTCAATACTTAGAGATAGGTTCTACACACTATGCATGTTACTGTGTTCCTGAATTATGGCCCCTGATTGTATGAAAAATCATGTTTTTAGCTTGTGGTCCTACTAGAGGTCACAATTATTATCCAATTTAAAAAAAATGTTCGAATATATCACTGTTACACCGTATTGTTGATTGAGATTGAATTAAGTGAAAATCGGGCCAAAATTGCCAGACAAAATGGACGCCCCTCGTACGTAAATAGTGTATAACATCTGGTATATCAAGGTTGTGGACCCTCTACATGTTTATAACCCAAAGATCTTGGTTCGTTTTGATATTCGCGCATATTGGATTGCAATTTCCTGAATTATGGCCCCTAATTGCACGAAAAAACGTGTTTTTTAGCTTATGGTCCCTGTAGAGGTCACAATTTTTATCCGATTTAAAACAAAACATGTGAATATATCATCATTACACACTAAGATATTGGTTCCTTTTGAGAATCGCGCATATTCGAATTTCAGGAAAATCAAAATGAAACTGACTGACAAAATGACCGCTCTTTGTATGCAAATTGTGTAAAAAAAAAGCAATATGAAGGTTGTGGACACTCTAGCGGTCACATTTTTTACCTGATTTTGATGAAACTTAAAACATATCTTTATATTCCAAAGATCACAGTCCCTTTTGATATTTGTGCAATTCAGACCATAACTTTCTGGATTATTGCCCCTGATTGTACAAAAACTCCTGTTTGTTTTTAGCTTATTCTCTGTCCATCTCTTGCAAAATGTGGGGGCGTATATTGCCTGGCAACTACTGCTTGTTTATCTCTGGTAAAACTCGCCGACCATTTTGAATGTCACATGATGTATCCTTCTGTCGATCACTCCACAAATATCCAAGATGGCAGCTTAAACGATTCTTCAGAAATTTCACGTATTTAGCCGAATCACTCACATTGTGCACTAAAAATAGTTACTGGTAAATCAGCTGTTTTCGAATGAACTGTTGATGTCAAGATGCTGAAAATTTGCAAGGATCATTAATATGTAACTCATGCTACGAATCGATGCCTAATTGTCGAGAAATCGGCAGCATTTCATTCTAACAAATCCTGCCAATCAGTAGCCACTGGGGGCGGAGCTTAGGAACCGGTTTCACCCTAATTAATGACCGGCGAGTTTTACCAGAGATAAACGAAGGGTAAAGTTAACTCTGGGATCAAGATTGCGTTAAACTGCCACCACTGTAGAAAATCTTTCAATGTGAGTTAAGCAGAAATTAGAATAGTTGTCATTTGGATGTATAAACACACACTTCAGCTGGCTCTTGTTAAAATACCCAATGAACAACATATTATATTTTATTGTAGAAAAATCTGTATACATACACTATTTTATTTCAGATCAAATTTCAAACATGCCATTTTCTATGTCTGAATTAATTCCAATGAGTTTAGCTTTATGTGAATCGTGTATTGGTATAATAGAATTAGCTCATCCTGATGCTAAGTTATCTATTAATGAAGATTACAGACAAGCTTTACTTAAATCTGGTATTAAACATCGTAAACTGGCAGCTGAATTAGAAGATAAAGAAACTAAGTTATGGGCCGGTCTCTTTAAGGTATACTACTGCATATTATTTTTCTGTTTAACATGCTTGGCTGATTAGAAAATAAATTTTCTTGGTCAAAATTCTGTTTAAAATGAAAATAAGCTTGCAAATTGACTGTTCAAATTTGATATGCCACATTGGAATATGGTTATATATGTATGTTGTCATCACCTGCATCTAACCGGTGTCCACTATTGCTTCTGGACACTTTAGAGGCTAAAGTTTTCATCCAGTTATACGCAGTGTAAATGTTCATGAGACAAAGAAACCTATTGATTACGGCAAAATGAATCAGAATGTGCACAATCTAATTATGAGATAAAGACAAAATAAGTGAAAATATTGATTTTGTTTGAAATTGAGATTTTCACAAAAATGAGTCTATAAATATAATCTCTATCGACCCGAAAAATCAAAATAGCAATAAAATATTTTAAAACAGCTTTATTTGGACATTTTGTAAGAGTACCATATTCCTAAATCTGTCTTTCTGAATATTCTCATCGAAATTAGATATTTTTCTCCGCTCACAGCGGGACGACCGGTCAATCCTCTTGCTTAATACTTGGCATTTTATAAAGCGAAGAATCTCTAGTTTATAAATATGACCAAAAGATTGCGATGAATTCATTTTTATATGCCCACATTTCCATGTGGACGTATTATGCGGTCGCCCCTATGTGAACGTCCATCCGTCCACAATTTATTTGTGGACACTGTACAGATCACAATTTTTGTCCTATTTTGACAAAACTTGAAATATATGTCTATCTCCCAAATATCTAGGTTCCTTTCGATATTGGCATGTATCCGACCATAACTTAATGGATTATTTCCACTGATTGTACGAAAAATCACGTTTTTAGCTTGTGGACACTATAGAGGTCACAATTTTTATCCGATTTTGTTGAAACTTGAAATCTAAGAGGTCACAATTTTCATCTGATTTTGATGAAACTTGATATGCATGTTTATAACCCACAGATCTTGGTTCCTTTCGATATTTGTGCATATCGAATTGTATCTTCTGAATTATGGTCCCTATTGTATGAAAAATTGCATTTTTAGCTTGTGGTCCCTCCAAAAGTCACAATTATTATCCGATTTAAAAAAAACATTCAGATATATCACCGTTACACCGTAATGTTGGATGAGTTAAAATTTTGTGAAAATTAGACCAAAACTGCCGGATAAAATGGCCGGACCTCATATGCAAATAGTGTAAACATATGGTATATCAAGATTGTGGATCCTCTAGAGGCCACAATTTTGATCTGATTTTGATGAAACTTGAAATTCATGTTTATAACCCGAAGATCTTGGTTCCTATCGATAATCGCGCATATGGGATCGTAACGTCCTGAATTATGGCCCTTGATTGTACGAAAAATCATGTTTCAATGTGAGCGTATACTGTTGTCGCCCCCGTCCGTCGGTTGTGGACGCTCGAGAGGCTAAAGTTAATATCAGATTGACTTTAAATTTATACACAGTGTTTAAGGTCATAAGACGAAGAAGCCTATTGATTTACATTATATACACAGTGTTTGAGGTCATGAGACGAAGACGCCCATTGATTTTCAACGGTTTCCGATAATTACTTCCAGGGTTATGGCCCTTGATCACTTTGAAAAATCTTGTGGACACTCTAGAGGCTACAGTTAATATCCGACAGGGCTCGAACTAGTGAGCGATGTGGGCGAAATAGTCACCCAACCACCGCTGATTTCGCCCTCCAAAGAACCTAGAGCGAAGTTGAAGTCGCCATTGTGTCGCCGTATATTTATTGAAGGGTGAAGTTATTCTGGAGACATTTACCGTACATAAACAAACTCGTGTGACTCAATGTGAGGCTCGAAGGGAAATGTGTAAATTAGACATGTTGTGAATAAGACTGGGAGATGTATTTCTACATTTTTATATGAGAATCTAGGCAAAGCTATTTTAACTGTTATGTTAAAGATAATTAAAATCCATCTAAAAACAATAATAATTCAAAATATAGTCAAGGAATCTAATTATTTTGTCTCCATTAGAACCTCTTACTCCAAAAATTGTAGCCAATCTGCAACAACCCCATTAAACTTGGCAGTGGAAACAATATTTTCTTGTGGTATTGAGATCTATCAATGAAGACAGGCTTGTTTTTGTTCTATATACAAAGAGACTTTATATAAAATGAATACAATTCATAGAAATTTGCATACAATGCCATAATTTGTGCTTGAAGGACTATGAAAGCCTAATATTGATATGTCCATTTTTAGCATGGACCACAGATGTCAACACGTGTTTATTTTACTTGCACAAATGTAGTTTGAGCTTGCACTATCTTGTATGTATTAAAGCTAAAGTAAAAGAAAGAATTCGTATTTAAATAAATTACTTTTTTATCTGTTCTTTATTTGGGAAATGATTTTGTTTTCATTTACATAGTGCATAGTTCCTCATTGCTTTCTATCATAAATTTAAACAACTAATAATTTCTTAATTCTGGTTCAGTGGTGTGTTTAAAGCAAGAAATAGGAACATTTAGGACCTCCTAATATAATTATACGGTCCATTCGACTATCTGCAAGCTTATACATTTGATACATGTAAATGCTGACATTAATGTGATCTTGTTAGGGAGCAGGTCGTTTCATCCCACGACCGTTTCACCCCGGGCTGTTTCATCCCAAATTTATACAGGTCGTTTCATCCCACTTATATCGGGTCACTTCATCCCACAAATAAAAAAACAGGTATTACTTATTTTTAATATTTTATTCATACATTAATAACAATCAGTGACTTTTCTTCCAATAAATTATGTGGTATTTCATTTACGGCCGTATAACAATCATTGACTTTTCTACCAATAAATTATGTGGTATTTCATTATAGTTTATTTATTATAAAACATAAAATAAATATAATTATAGTTTATTTATTATAAAACATAAATATAATCATAGTATGTTGGGGATGGTTCTGTCGGTCGATGCTTTTATCTATATCTATTTGCCACTCTTTTCAACAGCATGGGATTGGGCACCCGTACATCGGTTTAACATGAATAGTGTCCAACTTCTTCCTTTGCATACGCTTTAGCATATTTTCCGAAATAACACCAATTCGCGACACCAATTTCACTAAAATTACATCGCGGTTTTGATCTTTCTGGATGATATTTAACATAATATATTATTTGATGTTATTTACAATATTTTATTGCTTAAAATGATGAATAAATACTGTTATAAACTCCTGAGTATTCATTCCACGAAGTTTGCAAATGCCGATACTGATCTTTGGCAAGGAAGGAAAATAATCAAAAGAATTTCTGTTTTTTGTCATAATTATGGTCTTGATTTTGCGTAGAAGAAATCATGTTATTCAGTAACAATAAGCGAAAAAATGTTACACGCATTTATTTTCGTGTGACATATTTTGCAACACGCAGTCTACAAAATCAACACGCATTTTGCGTGTTTGAGTCCGTCAAATTCGATCCCTGTTGGTCATCAATTGAGAGTGCGTGAGTGGACTTGTTTGTTTAGAGCTGATAAAAGTCTTCTTCAGTGTATACTGTACTACATTATTCAGGATATTTGCTCTATTTTCATCTGTTAGTTGTAGAATATCTGGCAAGTGCTCATTTAGAAATCTACTTAAACCATTACCATTGACCAATGCACTTGCTTTGGTGTGGTATAGATTGATTGTATACCCCCAACTGGCTTGTCTCTTCATTGCCCAGACTCTAATGGTAGCGGATTCTCTGGCTTTTGATGTTTTGGTTACATTTTCAGTTATTTCAAAGCCAACCTCTTCACTCTTCTTCAGAGTTCTATAGTACGATTCTGATACTGCATAATGACCAGCATTCCAATAGATTCGCAGACCCCCACCTGTCTGATTCATTTCCACCTCTACCCTATACGTAGCAGCTAACTGATTTGCCAAACACTTGCTAACATGAAGATCATGTCTGAGGTGCCTCAAACTCTGTCTGTAGGCAGGTTCTGTTTTCTTTTCTACATGTATTTTATCATTTGTCTTCGATTTGGCGCATTGTAATGTATTAGACTTCGCGCTTCGGTGTCAGCCATCTTGAGAAAAGTTGGAAACGGCGTTGGTTGTAGCACAATCAAGAAAGCATTCTTTTTCCTCTTACCTTACTTTTATTAAAGAGTTTTTTTGCTTAGAGCTGGTTTCTGGAATCCTCAGCTAAGATTACGTATTTACAAAAAGAACCTTTTGTTACCTTTAGGTATTTAAAACAGCATTATTTACCGCTCCTATGAATCATGACTTGACAGTTCGCGCATGCGCTATTTATGATGAAACTTGGTGTATAGTTTCATTACATCAATACCCTGACTAAGTTTCATAATGAGCATATTCTGCTCAGGGTAAGCAGAGCGATAAGCAATTTGATTCTTTGAGACTTTGGGACACAATAACTTGGTGTAGGTGTTTATTATGTCAGTGCCTTGATGGAGTTCGAAGATGAGCATTTTCTGCTTAGGGTAAGCAGAGATAAGGAATCTGATTGGTTGATGCTTTGGGACACGATAATTTTCCTTTTAATTGAGGTAGAATGTTCAAACTTGGTGTAGGCGTTCATGCCTTCAGGGGTTTCATTAAATATTACTGTAGGTGGGTAAAGTATCAGAGTAGGCGGCTAGTCTTTTGAGAGCCGAAGGCGAATTGAACGCTGAAGGCGCAAAATAACCGGGAGGGGGGGGGGGCAGGAGAAAATTTTGCGTTTTGTCATGAAATGTAAAAGTTAGCACATTAACTAGTGAACAGGTTTGAAAACTCAGTTTGGTGCAGTCGCAGAAAATGGTTGATCTGTCAACTCAACGACCCCTTTATCAACCTCTTTTCTATTGTAGCTTACTAGCTATCGGCGCTATTGCACTTTCGCACCTCTACCAGTTTTTGTGGTCGTAGAAACTTAAAATTTTCAGGGGATGTTAAGGGGAACTAGCTATGATCTCAGCCGAATCGATGAATAACTT